TGCATTAATTACATTTCTCTCCTGGCATTCTTTATTAGTCGAGTCCCGAATCAGTCACTCGCCTGTGATCGATGTCAGACTCACAGGCAATAACTACCCGAATCATCCCATTTACCCATTAGCTCTTGGCCAGTCGTCTGGAACGTCCCCTGGTAAAACACCAGCCAAATGGTAACCCTGGGGCAGTCTGCCATCGTCCCCAGCAGCAAGAAACACTCCAGGCGAATGTAGGTGAGATCTGCTCATTATGAACAATCTCGGGATGGGGCGAGGGGCGATGAAAGCAGCCCCTTATTTCGGAGATACAGTGTTTGCCGCCCTACCGCCAGCCTCGCTGGAAATGGCCCGGCGAGGGACTTAGCCGGCTCTTTTGAAACTTTCGCTGTGTGATCTGTCTGATCAGACCCGGTGCAGTAACGAATTCCTCGGGGCTGGCTGCAGGACTGGGGGCATTAGGAAACTCATCTCGCCATGCCCGGGGCGTTTCCGTGCTGCAGCATTTGCCTCTCAAACTCTTGTCCCCCAGAATCATGCTGTGCTTTTTCCTACGCCAGCTAACGCCCCCACTTGTGCTTTCTCTGGGACGTGGCCTGGGGCGCTCCTCCCCCTCCCCCCGTGGCGTACCTGCCCCCAGGCCGTGGCGGTGAAGTGGAAGCTGTCCATCATCATGGAGAGCAGGGAGATGAACTCCTTGTCCTCGTAGTCGAACCGGTCCCCGAAGACCACGGAGCTGATGACGTTGGACACCGTGCGGCTCAGGAAGTAGGTGGGGTCGAAGGGCAAACCTAGGGGGTACAACCAGTGTTGGGTGGGGCACAGGTGAGCCGGGGGGCTGTGCCTCAGACCGTCTAACCTCCATGGATCCCACAGCCCCCCCCGAGTCGCTCCTGTCCTGATCCTGCAGCCGCTACCTGCCTTGTTCACACCCGGCTCAGCACCGTGTCGAGGCAACGAAGAGGCCTGGGGGAGAACTGGCCCAGCCCCCGTGAGCGGCTCCGCTGCTGTCTGCCCCCATGGCCGCCGCGGTCCCTCCCCTCCCTGCCCCCCTGCGAGGCCGGGCAGGGCTATCCGACGGGGAACGGAGCCCCAGGGAGACTAAGCCCCGGTCAGACAGGCAATCTTCGGCGGAGCAGGGAACTGAGCCCACACCTCGCGTCCTGGGCTAGAGCCCCATTCACTGGCCTTTGGTAGGGCCCCGCCCAGCTCCGCGACTCAGTTTCCCCATTGGCACAGTGGACGTTATGACACTGACCATCTTTGCAAAAGTCCACAGGTAAGAACCTCCGTGTGTAACTGATGTCGAGGTCAACAGAGCGAAGACAATTCGCACCAGCTGGGGGTCTGGCCCCATTGACTGTAACAGAGCTCTGGGCGGTTCACACCAGCTGGGGGTCTGGCCCCACTCACTGTAACGGAGCTCTGGGCAGTTCCCACCAGCTGGGGGTCTGGCCCCATTGACTGTAACAGAGCTCTGGGCGGTTCACACCAGCTGGGGGTCTGGCCCCACTGACTGTAATGGAGCTCTGGGCAGTTCCCACCAGCTGGGGGTCTGGCCCCATTGACT